AGAGACTCAAAAAATAGTCATTTTTACATAGTACCTAACACTCACGTGTAATTACAAAGCACAAATTGTCCTCACTCTTCTCTTCATGTTAAGGTTAGTCAATGTATACATAATGACAAATAAACATGAAAATCTAGTTTTAAGTAGAGACTACATAATGACACTCCAAAAATTATAGGATTTATTGACATAATTTTTAGGTCAATTTCAATGAAAAAATTGAATAGATTATTGTTTTTATTATTTTTAAATTACAAGGTAAATTAATTTTTTATCATCCACATACAAAATATTTCATATCTGGAAAAAGAAAATATTTCTATCCGTAAAAAGAAGAGAATTTTGAGTCACGAAAAAATTAAGCAATTAATTAACAACTCAACGGTCTCTATTTAGATTGACAACTTAACTTCGTAAAATGGAAGATATTAACATAACGAATGTTCAAATTCATGCTTAATTATATATTTTTCATCAATTAAATTTCCTTTATTTTGTTTGGGTAATTTTCTATTCTTGAAATTAATAAATATTTTGTAGCCATGTCGACACAAGCTTAATTAGTTTACCCTCTATTTGCAATGAAATAGTCTAGTCCTTTTTTTGAAATTAAAAAAATTAAAGTAAATCCAAATCATTAAAAATTTAATGCGTGACCATTTTAGTTAGAAAGTTGTGAAAAATATTTGAAAAAGATGAATAGATGACCTTGCGCCTCATGACATTTGTTTGTAAATTGTACAAAAATTTGTTTACATCACTTTCATATTTATTCACATAGAGAATCATGATATATGTTCGAAGTCAACAGTTTTGAAATGCTACTTATCATAATTAAAAAATAAAAATAAAAAAATTTGATATGTTGCATAGTTTGAAGAAAATGAATATTCAAATGCTCAATCGCATACAACCCATTTAATACCTCTAAACAACCACTTCACACCTCTAACACATTGCTAAAGTTTAACGTTCACAAAGTGAACTCAGTTGTAAAAATGTGTGGGCATATAAACCTCGATGCATTATGTGATATTTGTGGTTGAAATAAGATAAACAAAAGAGATAATCAATTGAACATGGATTATGATGTCTTGTAAGGTCACAATGATCTTATACTTCAATGGAGGAATGACTTGAGGAGACGTGGGACAAAAAGACATGGAGACTATGTTGGTTTGAAACGAGATTAAACTAATCTACATCATATGTATACATTTTTGGATGAAATCCATACAACATCGCTAAAATTTTCCAATCTAGTATATTGTCATCTTTGTAAGCGGATTCCAATCTAGTTCACAGTCAATTGAGTTAATTTTACAGGAAAGCAAGGCTGTTACGTTATCATAGTATGTATTTGATGTATATATCGAGCATTTCTATTATATACGATACTATGTTCAATTCCAATAGCTACTTGGCTATTAGAATGAATACAAATAGCAAGCACGAGTTTTGTCCAAGTACAAATACACCCTTAAAAGGTTTTGAAGTCATTTATCACGAGCTTCATCGAAAGTTAAAAATATAATTTCCATTGCATATCTTACAATACATGTTTGTTTAGAAGATTTTCAAAATATAATTGCACTTCCAACACAAAACACATTGGACGTCGATGTTTAGTACTCAATATTAATTCAATTCACATCGCAATAACCTTCAGTACCTAAACGATATCTTGTCTGGTTCATATCGTAGTCTTTATACGTCTCAAATATCTCAATACTCTTAAGATAGTTTCTCAAAATTACTAGCATACAACTAAACTTACTCGCCGTATAAATAAGGTCTTGCTGCATACAGTTCCCAAGATACATTAGAATATATCTTCGATTGAGATATTGAGCTTTCAGAATTCCTAGCCAGACAAAGATTTTTATCTAAAGGACTACTGATATTGTTCTCTTGAGCTTATCAACTATTTTCTCAAATAATGTATTTAAAATAATATTTGTACCATTTGATATACTAGAAATCTATATTTCTAAAGCCATGTATGTCTTGGTCTACCCTAGAAAGACCCATGACATGCCTTACCTATACAAAAGAATAATGCTACTTGTACAGTTGTACATAACGAGTTATAGAATGATTTACATACAGATGAGGTGTCACGAAGATAGTAGGAAAACCTTTTTTTTATTTGGTTGAATAAATTCTAACACAATCATATCTCACTACATTATGTGTAAGTAAACCATAATGTAAACTATTAAGTACATGTAGCACAGCCGTAATGCATCGCTAAAGTTTAATACAAACATGACCTCTATAGTATAGAAGAGTGCAAAAAAGGGAAAAGGAGGGACAAAAATATAGACACAGCAACAATTTTATAACAGGGGATTAGTTTACAACACTGCACCCCTTTCCCAGAAGAGCTGAAAAATGTTCACCAAATACAACTTCAGTTTCCTTTATGTTTTCTTCAAAATCAAATGAATTTGAAGAAAAATAGTTACAACGGAAGCAATAACAATTACTGCAATGTGTTGGAACAATTAGAACTTAGTCCCAACCATAATAATTCAATTTAAATTAAGTACCTTCCAATATCAGTTGTGGCTTAAAAAAGGTAAGAAACAATTAGTGTACTTTTGTCCCATTAATAGCTGGAGCAGCACCTCTAGCTGCCTTGACATAAGCAACATACTCACTGAAGTGCATGGTAAATAAGGTGCTCTCGTAACGGGTGAGCCGAATACGCTTCCGCAGTGACTCATTGATGGTACCATTGTAACCTGCCTTCCTAATCAATGAGTCAATTGCCTCTATCTTTGTCCAGCCTACATGGGAAAGGAAAACAAAGAATCAACAAGTTGAGTTCCAATGAACAAAACACGTTGTGCTAGGCTTTGTGTCTCTTCCTTCATAGCTGGAGCAATTAGCTGGCTACAGTTTGAATTTGCAAAGCTCTATTTAAACCAAATCTCTAAATGTTAGGGAATAATTAGCTATCAATGTGTCGTCAGTTACATAGTCTTTTCCTCTGATTTTTAATCTATCGTAACAGTTCTGTATTGTTAAACTTTCAAAAAGAAACTATCGGATCAAGCTGCCTTGGAAAAGAAAGAAGATATGTTAAGGTCAGGTTATCTCATGACTGTGAATAAGAGAACGCTGTCAGTCAACTCATTGGCGCTTTCCTCATTGTTACTTATAGGTGCATATCACGCCTTCCTCATAGACTCGGTTATCTTTTCAGAGTTCCAGCAAGGGACTCTTTGTAGACCATAATGGGTTGGAACTTTTTGTGTTGCTACAGTTATTTTGTGATAACAAAGAAATCAAAGCACTAGAAGTAACCTTCATGAGCAGCCACCTCAGGCAAGTACGTGGCACTTCGCCTAGTATTATAATCAGGATCTGTAAATTCAATAATCATCCCATGCGTTCCGACCTGCACAAACACACCAATTCTTGAGAACATATTATGGAACATAGCAATTTTCTATTGGCTTACTTAAGTCCTTCCTATTGAACTCACTCTGGTACAACCAAGATTTAGAATCAAGACATCTTACCTATAAATATCACAATACAGGGGAGAATTCCATAATCCAGCTACACATTGTAGAAGGATTATAAATGCAAAATTAAGATTAACTCGTCATAATTGAATTTACAATCTGATCACCTCAGCACAACAATTTGGAAAGTATTAGTTCACCAAGGGATTAGGATGAAAAACAAAAGTGAACGATCTCATATTGCGGCATGTAAAACAACATGTTTATAGAGCTATCGCATAAAACTAGGGGGGTAAAATACGAAATAAATTTGTTGTGACAAAAGCAGCAAGAGGGCTAAATAGTTTAGTCATTTGCGTTTCAGCATGGGGGACTAATATTAAATCATTTAGGCAATCTGAGATTGCAGTTATAGCCACTAGTGTCGGTATATTTCTTGTAAATGTAGATGGAATCTTCTCTAACAGAACTCTGGATTTATAAAATCAAATATTTGTCCATCAAATTCAACGGATATAAACTGAGTGTCCTCATTTACATGCAGAAAGTGCAGAAGAGAGTCAGAGAATATAAACTTAGTTTCCTCACTTACATATTTACACTAAGTGTAGAAGGGCATCCATCCATTTACAAAAGAACAATATATACTGCAAGTAGAAGCAATTACCAGAGACAATATGATGAAATATCATAAATAATTCAACAACATGCATACTGTTGTTTGAATTTATCAAAACATTGATCTAATACACAATGAGGTGCAGTGTAATACAGTTTGTTAGCGCTACACCGGATATAACATGAGTATCATAATATACATGAACATATAGCATAAGTAGCATGATATGCAACAATGGTGGAACATAGCATATCAATCTAGTTCTTAGATGGATGCTAAGGTACTAAGAAAGACTGCACAGTTAGACATAAATTGCACATAGGGCACACATAAAAATGCTAGGAAATTCACAACTTAGAAAACTACCTCCCAGTCAAGATAGTCACGAGCAGTTTCATAATTTGTCAGAATGGAAACTGTACATTGCAAGTAAGGCAATTCTTTAGCTTGTATTGGGGGAAATCGACGATCCCTAAGGGCACTGCAAAATAAAAAAATAAAAATTAAATAAAATGAAAAATTAATTTAGCCACTGCTTTAAAACTGGTGGAAATTTAATGAGATGTACCAGTAAGGAATTAATCATAAAATAAGGCATACCAACTAAATAACTACTCCAGAATACAGTGGAGAGTAATTGGTACAAAAACAAGTACTATTGCTGACACAGTTGGCCAGATTCCATGCTGGTGATATGCACAAAGGAATTGAAGTATAAAACACAACCAGAGGCAGGGAAAGGAAAATGTTTAGCACCCACCATGACTAATCATTGAAGGGATACTACCAAAAAAAAAAAAAGATAAGATCACCAATCTACCAAGTTCTAAATTTATTCCGATCTACCTCCATAATACCCATCTCTGCAAGCTTTACTAGATCGACATTTTGTACTTATCCAATCCAGGGAACAAGTACAGTCACATACAACATGTTTTTGCAGATAATTTCTAAATTACTTCATCCCAAGACACCAATTAAGACAAAACTGGTGAAAATGAATAGCTGGACATACATTCTATAAATTTAGTGTAAGGAGAAAGGGGAATTGAATATAAGCATGTGCAAAAATCACTTGGGATTAAAATCAGCGTTGCTCATTCCTATCTTTCCCATGATGACTATGAACAGGCAAATGAAAAATTTCACTGAGAATTTCGGTTTGCAACATCATGCTGCTCATGGTGTTTCATGATTAGTATTGTTCACTTCATAAACCAGTGTAAAGGATATTAAAATGTAAATTAAGCTGGACTTAAGAACATGTACAAATTAATGAACAGAGCAGTCAGGTCTCCTTTTCATGAGACATGATGGAGTTATTTGATTCACTAATAAATGCCAAAAGAAAGAGGCTAATGGAATCTGAGGTGAAGATTATTTGAGTTACTCATGTCTGATTTCTCAGAAACGGAGTGCAATAAAAAAAAAAAAGCCACGAATTTGAAAATTTTAAAATGGAACCACCTTGTTAGAGCATAGTCCCTGAAACCATTGATTATGCAGTGAGCTTCAAGAGTTCCAATGCATCCACGTAAACGAGGCTCCCCTCCATTCACCACTTTCTTCCAGGTTACAAATAATGGGCTGAAACCAGAGTGTAAGTTGGTCCAACAATAAAAATTATACCCAAAAAGAACCAGCCATAGCTGTAGCCTATGCATGATCGCATCAAAAAAACTGTTAAAAATATAGTGTGTCCATCCTTTGATATTTAATAAGTGAGAACAAGGGGATAAAGAACAATAAAACCCCACAAATTAATTCAGAAGACAAAAGTGTTTTCTTATATAATGGGAGCAAATATAAAGAAAATAAATGGAAAAATAATATATTTATCTCCGGTACTTATACAGAAAATTTTTTACACATTACATGACAGAAAAACACATGGGATAAAGTCGTTGGTTCTTTTAAAAATAAAACAGTTTTTTGCCAGTTTTTCCACCAATCAAAATCTACCAACTGATGTCTGTCAAAGCTATGGTCGTATTTTTCTGTACAAATAGCATTATTCGACACAATGCGTATAGGAAAATGACTACAATTCTACAAGCCAATTTATTTTTTACAGAAACTATGTACTGTGAAAGATAAAAAAATAAAATAAAAAATAATAATAAAAAAAGGGACAACAGACACGAAAACACATAATCATCTAAATAATTGATTAAATATATTCCAACAAACCCCTGAAAGAGTATGTGCAAAATAGTGATAACATCAAAGAAATTGAAAAAAAAAATGAAAAAGGCAAAACACAATAATAATCCAACATAACAAATGAATATCATACTGTTGACCCTCATCGAAGGCAGGAGGAGGAGCCTGTTCGCTGTTGTAGTGAGCCACCAGCGTGTCGAAGCAGTAAACAGCCATTTCCCTATTTGCCGACACCATTTTTTCTTAAATTTAACTCTCTCTTTTTCCTTCAAAATTCGCAGCAGTTTCACTGAATTGAGTTAGATCGATCCGATTTTATGAACGGAATAAGAATTTGACGATTAAAATAATTAAATTATGAAACGTAGAATTAAGAAATTCTTTATAAATTAATGGTGGAGTGAGGGACTCTCTTTGTGCCAGAGAATAATTGAAAAAGGAAACTAGTACTTTATGTCACCAATAAAGCAGTAAACAGCCATTTCCCTATTTGCCGACACCATTTTTTCTTAAATTTAACTCTCTTTTTTTCCTTCAAAATTCGCAGCAGTTTCACTGAATTGAGTTAGATCGATCCGATTTTATGAACGGAATAAGAATTTGACGATTAAAATAATTAAATTATGAAACGTAGAATTAAGAAATTCTTTATAAATTAATGGTGGAGTGAGGGACTCTCTTTGTGCCAGAGAATAATTGAAAAAGGAAACTAGTACTTTATGTCACCAATTATGCGTCATTTTGAATATTAAAATAAATAAAAAAATGCACCTAATTTCTGAATGGGGTTAATTGCTATGGAGGTCCCCCCAAAGTAATTTATTTATATTGCATTTTAATCCTTAACTTTTGACATATGAGCGTAAAGGTCATTTTTGTTCAAATTCATTTGTTCTGAAGGTGTTTATAATCAATTTTTAAATTATAAACAGTAACAATATTTTAATGTGCGTCCTGTGTGAATTTTATTACGAATCCAAGGTTTATAGTTTTTCTTTTGATAACATTATTGTTAACATAAATGTTATAGAAAAATTTATTAATCAACGCAATCTTGATTTTGATTTTAAAAGCTTTTTCAAGTGCATATATTTGTCATATTTTAAATTTAATTGTGCAAGATGACCTTGAATATATTGTATCATGCCTCACAAAAAACGAAACATGCTATTGTTCTTATTTTTGTTTCTCCTCCTCGCCAAGAAGCATTTGCAAGTGTATGTGTAGATGAAAACTTACCTCGCAAAAGATATATATAACAGGTGGAACTCTACTTATTTCATACTAGATTCTTGTTTTAACTATGATATAATTATTATTTAACGACGGGCATTATACTTATGATTTAAATTCTAATGGTAGATAATTTCTTTTGAAATAATGAAATTGTTTGAAAGTTTTTTTCTCCATTGGTACGCGAGTGTCTACTATTTTATTGTTCCTGTTGTTCTTACTTAGCCCCCGTTATGCTCTCTTTAAATTAAATTTTATTTTTTTCTCCTCTTTTCAATCTCACAATTTTTTATAAAATAATATTACACGTAAATCGAAAAAATTTCCTTCTTTTTCTGATTTAAATTCTAATGGTAGATAATTTCTTTTGAAATAATGAAATTGTTTGAAAGTTTTTTTCTCCATTGGTACGCGAGTGTCTACTATTTTATTGTTCCTGTTGTTCTTACTTAGCCCCCGTTATGCTCTCTTTAAATTAAATTTTATTTTTTTCTCCTCTTTTCAATCTCACAATTTTTTATAAAATAATATTACACGTAAATCGAAAAAATTTCCTTCTTTTTTAACCACATATTTTTAAAAAAAATACTATTTCATCCATTATTCCAAAGGGGGGCTCAATGTTTTAATATAATAAATATAGAGATAATTCATTTTTTAAGACATTATTTCTAACATAGGGATGAAATTTCAAAAACATTGAGGATTTGCATGTTATTCTCTCTAGCTGTAGTTGTGGACTCCGTGTATTAATTTACAGGGTTGAAAGGTATCATTGAAAAAAATTCTTCGCATTTAACATTTTACAACCCCATCTCACGCTGTGACAGAGAAAGTATCTGGTACATTTTGTATTTACAGTATGCTGCCAAACACTGCCACCGCT